AACAGCCAGATCTCAAACCGGTGCCCATTTGGGATGCGGTGCTTCAGGCCAGGGCTTTAACCCACTGCACCACAGCGTCGGCCCCTATAATTTTAGGTGCACACAGAAATGTCTGTGGTCCAAAGCTCTAATCTATATAAAAAAGGATAAATTCCAGGAAGTTTAACTCCTTTTAGTTCCTGTAGTCTTCATCCTCTCCCTTCCTCCTGCTTCCTAGAAGTATTTTTTAAAATCCATTTCTTATTTACCCTTTTAGGGATTTTATTTTTTGCAAAAATAAGCAAATTTGGCTACTATGTTAAGCAGTTTGTCAAATCCTCAAATTCTCAACTGTATGACCTATACCTTCCACTTGTAGGTGTCTACCTAAGAGAAACAAAAATATACACTCGTGGAAAATTTAGACTTGAATGTTCACAGGAACTTGATTCATGGTAGCCAAAAAGTGGAAACAGCACAAATTCCTATCAACTGATAGATAAAAACATGTAGTACCTCCATACAATGGCATATTATTAGCTTCTATAAAGAAGTGTAGTGACGCATGTTACAACATAGAATGAACCTTGAAAATGCCATGCCAAGTGAAAGAAACCAGTCACACAAGACCATGTATCATATGATTCTATGTCCAGCAGAGGCAAAGTCATGGCGTGAGAAGGTAGATTAGTGGTTTCTAGGGGCAGAGGGGAGGGGACGTTAGGATTGACTGCTACCAGGTACTGAGTTTCTTTTTGGGATGATGAAAATATTCTGGAATTAGTTCATGCTGATGGTTGCACAACTTTTGGAATACACATAAAAGTCACTGAATTATGCATTTTAAAGGGGGTGAATTTTATGTATGTAAATTAGAGCCCAATGAAGCTTTCCCAAGAAATGACAAAGTATGTACATACATTTTCGTTTCCCTTTGCTGATTGCAAAAAGGTGGCACATTGTACATGCTGTCACTTATGTCATTTTTCCACTTAAAAATATAGCTTAGAATTTGGATGCATCTTGAAGGAATTACACTGGTTGAACAAAACCAACTTAGAAAGATTACATATGTAGTGATTCCATTTATGTGATCTTGAAACAACAAAGTATAGAAAAAGAGAACAGAAAGTGGTTACAAGGGACTGGGTCAGGGGTAGGCGTGGGGCTATGCAAAGGCAGCAGGACGGATCTTTGTACTGATGGAGTAATAAGAAAATACACAGAATTTCAGAGTTCTGGAAAATACCATCTTTCAGTCTTATACAACTACATTTAAAAACTTGAACTCTGTGGATGGCTTCCTATTTCTACAGAAATGTGAATTTTTCAGAATTCATCAAGATGTCCCAAAAGACGCAGATAATTTAAAGACACCAATACCATGAAAGAAATAGAGACATTGTCCATCACACGTGTATTAGTCAAGGTTCTTTAGAGAAGCACAATCAATAGGGATGTGCATATCTTTATGTAGCTTACGTACATCTCCATCTAAGTGCTTTATCATGGAAACTGGCCCAGCTTGATTACAGAGACCAAGAAGTCTCATGATCTGCTATCTACTAGCTGGAGACAGGAAGGCCAGGGGTGTGATTCAGCCACCTGAGGGCCTGGGAACCAGGCAGGTGAGGAGGAAAAAGCAGACAGGGAAGAGCATGACTTCTCTTGGGCAAGAGGCTTCAAAAGAGCCCCATCCCTGTTGGGCTCCCACCAGTCCTGGGAATGGGACTGCCATATTTTCAAGGCTGTGCAGAGGTAGGGAGTGGGAGATGGGACTACAGAAAATTAGGAATGTCATAGAGCTTGCTGGTCTTGCTGAGGTCCTGTCATGCCCTTGGCTAAATGCTCGCTGGGGTGCAGCAAGCCTTTGGTTGACTTCGGTTGATGCCCAGAGTTCCGAGAGAGCTGTTTCCCATCTCCTTCCCCTGTCCCCGGCGCTCTTTCCCTTGCTTGTTGTGGAGGGGTAGACTCTAGGAGGCTCTCCTGCCATTTGTACTCTCTCCGTTAACTTTCACAGTGAGGAGTGTTTTCACAATTTGAAGGGTGTAGATGGCGTTCTTCAAGTTGAATTTTAAAAAAAAATTTATTTGAGCCGATGTCGTGGCTCACTAGGTTAATCCCCCTGCGGTGCTGGCATCCCCATGTGGGCGCCGGGTTCTAGTCCCGACTGCTCCTCTTCCAGTCCAGCTTTCTTCTGTGGCCCGGGAAGGCAGTGGAGGATGGCCCAAGTGCTTGGACCCCTGCACCCTCATGGGAGACCAGGAAGAAGCACCTGGCTCCTGGCTTCGGGTTGACGCAGTGCCGGCCGTAGCGGCCGTTTGGGGAGTAAACCAACGGAAGGGAGGCCTTTCTCTCTGTCTCTCTCTCACTGTCTGTAACTCTACCTGTCAACTAAATTAAAAAAAAAATTATTTGAAAGACAGAGTTAGCTGTTGAAATCCTTACTTAATGTATACTAAGCTGATCTTCTGTATATTAAGATAATCGAAAATGAATCTTGATGTGAATGGAAGGGGAGAGGGAGTGGGAAAGGGGAGGGTTGCGGGTGGGAGGGACGGTATGGGGGGGAAGCCATTGTAATCCATAAGTCGTACTTTGAAAATTTATATTCATTAAATAAAAGTTAAAAAAAAAAAGAGTTAGCAAGAGGGAGAGAGAAAAATAGAGAAATCTTCCATCCTCTTGTTCACTCCTCAAGTGGCTGCAATAGCCAGGGTTGGATCAGGCCAAAGTTAGGAGCCTGGAACTCTATCTGGGTCTCCACATGGGTGCAGGGGCCCAAGAACTTGGGCCATCTTCACCTTCCTCTGCTTTCCTAGGCACATTAGCAGGGAGCTGGATTGGAAGTGGGGCAGCCAGAACTTGAACTTCCCACTGCTCATATGGGATGCTTGTGTTGACAACGCCAGCCCCATATCGCATCACTTTAGATATCAGGCAAGCTGTGGGAGAACTCAAGAATCCAAATATTTCAGACAAATAAAGCGAGCAAGGGCCCTCCTGTCCCCACACCTGCCCCTGGTTCCTGCATATATCTCGTCTCTGCTTCATACCTCAAGAGATTTTTTTTTTTTCCCAGAGAAAATAGTGAAATCAGAAGGAGGAAATTAGATCAGATGTGGCCTTACCAACTTTCAGTCATTCCAGAAATCAAGAAGCCTTTTAAGATAAAGTCACTGGGTGTGGTGACCTGCTGGTAGTTAAACAAACACAATGACAGAGCTGCCCTGAGGCTCAGAGGCGCCCTCCAGTGGGACAGTACTGACCCTATCACTGCCCAGGCCTTGGCGCTCCTCCACACTTCCTGCTGGTGAGACCCAAGGGGTTTTCTGTGCAGAGGCAGACCCTCCAGGCCCACCTGTTACAACCGCAGGAATTCAAAACCGGCAAACACTACGTCACTTCTAATATAATCCCTCTTGCTGGCAACAAAACACCCCAAAGTTGATCTTAAGGTTTACATGAACAAATAAGCAAGGGTAACCTATAAATCCACCCTCCAAAGTGTAATGATTTAAGAGTAACTTCACCAAGGGTTAACATTTTTTTCCCACATTTTCTTTTTTAATCTGTGCATATTTGTGTGGTACGACATGATGATTTGTTACACATGTACATTGTATAATATCTACAATGATAAATACATTTGTCCTTTTAAGCATTTAACATTTCATTATATGTAAGTTAGTTTAAAAAGACTACAGTTATCAAACCAGACCAATGGCACAGAACCAAGAATCCAAAAGAACCAATCCATAGGATAATTTAGTGATACAATTCCAATGGCATTGCCTATCAGTAGAAAGGAGATACTTAGTAAATTGATCATCATCAGAAAAAAGTTGGATTCTTATCTAACTTCTTATAGCAAAATAAACTTTGATATATAAAAGATAAGAGAAAATCATTAAAATGACATAGAGTTGGGAGTTGTAACAAAATAATCTCAGAATGGGTACAACCACATTGGAAACAACAGAAATATTCATCAAAGTTACATGGAGGAACAGATGTGGTGTATTTAAACATAACAATAACATATAATTACTTAAATAAAGGGAATGTAGTTATACACATCATGTTTGTGTCTCAAACATAATGATGAGTTTAAGAAATAAGATGTTGTTCTTTAAGAATCAAATAATGTGATTCTATCCAGATGGAATAAAAATGAGGAAAATAAATGTTTTTATTAAAAAATGACTTTCAAATTTATTTTTTTAAATTCTCTCTCCTCATGGAGAGAGCAAAAATGAGAAAAGAATAAATAAATAAATAAATAAATAAATAAATAAATAAATCTCCCATCTATTGATTCAGTCCTCACATGCCTGCAGTAGCTAGGGCTGGACCAGGCTGAAGCCAGTAGCGAGGAACTCCATCCAGGTCTCTCACATGGGTGGCAGGAGCCCAAGTATCTGGACCACGATCACCTGCTGCCTCCCAGGATGAGCGTTAGCAGGAAGCTGGATCAGAAAGAGAGGCAGGATTAGGTCCAAGACACTCTGCTGTGCCATAATGTCCACCCCTGTTTTCTTTCAACTATTTATTTGGGAGAGACAAAACTCTCAGCCATCGGTCCACTCCCCAAATGCCCACAGTGGCTAGGGCTGGGGCAGGCCTAAGCTAAGAGCTGGGAGCTCAATCTTTGTGTCCCACATGCCTGGGACTGAGCCATCACTGCTGTCTCCAGGGGTCTTCATTAACAGGAAGAAGGTTTCAGGAGCTGGAGACTGGACCTGACCCCAGATACTCCGATGCAGGGCAGATACTCCGATGAAGGGTGCAGGTGTCTTGACTGGCATCTGAATCACCAGGCTAAATGCCCATTCAACTTTTTAGGGATATGTGAAAATATATTGAAATTGTAAAAAAAGTGGTGGCTAATGTGGATTTTAATGAAACAAGACAAATATTAGTGTCAGTGATTGCTTAGATCCCAGGGCCTCCCTGCAGCCGTCCCACCTGTTGGGTCTGTCTGTTCACAGAGATCTTTCCCTTCCTCCCCACTGCCCCAGGACGTTCATTTACTCGCTGCTCACCCGAGGGAGGCCTTTCCCAGCTACACTGTTTTTCCAAGGCTTCATCTTCTGCATCGGAAATGGGTTCCTCCAGGGCTACTCTCTGATTTACTGTGCGGACTACCCTGACTCCTGGTACACGGATCTAAGGTTTAGCCTGGGTAAGTGAACCTGCACGCGGATCCTCCGCAGGCCAGCTAAAGCCACTGCCCGGGTCCCAGTCACCTCACCCTCTCCCTGCTCTACCACTGCGACCGCACGGTGAGCCCCTTCTCCCCGTCTCACGCCTCCTCAATGAGGCTTCCCCTGACCACCCTGTCCCAAATAGTGGAAGACACTCAGTACTGGCTTTGTTCATTTTTGGAACACGAGATAAAGTCCAAAAATAATAAGCTGAAATCAGAATCAGCTGAAATGTCTAACCTGCTTAAAACCAACCAATGGCTTCGTGGTGCACTTAAAACCCCTGTCTGCTCACTGAGGCCTTGATTGACTTTTGACCTGTCATCCTGTCCTCATCTCCTTATCTCCCGCTCTGACCTCGCTCTTCAGGTGCATTGGACTTTTGCACCTGCTAGTCCCTCTACTAGGTTGCTCTGTGTCTCATTTTTGATTCCCCTTGACCCACAAAAGAAATGCAAAGTCTTTGGGAAAACTTTCCCAGCCACTTATCTAAAGAGAGATACCTCCTACCCCTCTCTACTCCCTGTCTCATCACCTTGCTTTGATTTCTGCATTGTGATGGCCGTAATGTGATCTTTTGCTTTACTTTTTAAATCATCTTAATTTATTTCTACATTCTTCCACTAAGATGCAAGCTCTTTAACAAGGGACCCCTTGACTGTGCCCTACTGGGTCCCAGGAGCTTGGGACAATGCTTGGTACCTAGTAAGCCCTCAATGAGTATTAGTGAATGAATGAATGATCTTAGCACTCTCCTTGTAACATAGGTGACAGAATACGTTCGACGAATCTGAGGCTGAGAGAGGCGGAGTGAGTTGGCACACAGGCACGTCTCTATCTCTGCACCACTCTGTTTCCTGTGCCCCCCCCCAACCTCTGCCCGTGCCCTTTCTCCCAGGCCTGTGATCCTTTGTGTAGACTGGGTGGGATGGTCATTGCTTCCTATCATGCCAAACCAGGGACCCTGGGTTCTGAGGCATTTTGATCAGGACCAAATGCGCTCTGTTGAGAGCGGGGTTGGGCCGCTCAGTGGGACAGGGAAGGTTCTGGGTTGTCATAGTGCCCATTGGGATGCAGGGCCTCCCATCCCTGATCCTGGCTCTGCTCTGCTCAGACTGGGCCCTGTCTTTACCAGTGGATGGTACATGTGGAGACACCACCAGGATATGTGGTTAAAAATACATAAAGCTGTGATCAGTATATATACGTGTGTGTGTGTGTGTTTGTGAAGTGGCAGTGGTGGCAATCTGTTTTATTGCCATACCCTTTCATCTACCTCAGATTCCTTTCATGAGCATGGGTGTATAGGTCAGGAATGCTCTCAGCAATGTGTCCCAGTAAACCAATGACTGGTGACCTAAACAATTCAGAATTCACATTGCTTACACAGCGTGGAGGGTGGACAGCTTCTGCATTCCTTTGGTCGCTTCCTGGAGTGATTAGGGACCCGGCTACTTCCTGTCCCATCTCTACTCAACACTCTCACCTGTGGCCCTCATGTTGGTCACCTACAAGGCAGTGGCTGCTGCTCAAGGCGCTGCGCTGTGCAAGCAAAGGGGGAGCAAGGAGGAAGTGGAGGCTCCAGGGCCATCAGCAAAGCAGGAGAGTTTCAGAGGACGTCCCTGGAACCCTGCCTTTGCATCTCATTGGCAGGACTAGGTTGTGGGATGCCCTCATCTTTCCATCCTCTATGGGGGGATCACAGAGGAGAAGGGGTTGGAATTAAGTCTTGAGTTCAGCAGCCCTGGTTTGATTGGGAAGGAGCCGAGGGCTTGCTGTTACCCATCTGTTTAGTTAGCTGACTATTAGACAATGGTGCTTCCCACTCCCCTGGCTTCCCCCGCCTGTCTCTACCACATGGCTACATGCAGGGCCAGCCTTTAGGCCTAGGGAACAGTACAGCCCTTCCCCCTCCCAAACTCGGTACGAGGGCTGGTTGCTCCTCACACTCCCTGTGCTCCTCCCATATCTCAGTCCAATTCTCAGACTTAGAAAATAAGTGCTTCTCCCTTCAGTTTTAGAAAAAATTGTAGCTTGCAAGGAAAACACTAAAATGAGGCCACATTTTCACTTCTCTCTCTTCTTTGCCTAGGTATCTGCTTATTTATTCTGGGAATGGGCATCAACATTCATAGTGACTATATATTGCGCAAGCTCAGGAAGCCTGGAGAAATCACCTATAGGATCCCACAAGGTAATGCCTGTCCTGGGCCCCAGGTCCCCACTCCTCCTTGGAGCAAGGAAGCTATGGTAACCAATGGGGAGGGGCAGTGAGGGCACACGTGAAGCGGTACAAACCCGCTTGCTCCTGACTTACCTTCCATGCCCTGTCCCAGCCACAGCATGTCTGCCTTTCTAGTCTGTACCCAGAAGTTAAGAGCCCCTGGAAGGAAGATGCTAATCCCCCAGAGGTGGAGAGAATGAGAGGTGTGGGTGGGGTGGGGATAGACTGCCGCCTAGTAGACAAGATTGCCACACACACACACAGGGCCAGTCCTTGCTGCCTTAGCAAATGCAGCTGAATCCTTCACCACCAACACATTTGTCCTCACTCTCCATGGATCTGGACTCACCTAGTGAGTTCTAGGGGTAGTACTTGGGTATTTCCTTTTAAAGACATTGGAGAACCTTGTGTATGCAATCAGAAGTTAGCCTTAGAAATATAAGTACAATAATGCATCACTTAACAACAGGGAACACTCTGGAAAATGCATCCTTAGGTGGTCCCATTGTTATGCAAACAACATGGAGTATACACACATCAGATGGCCCAACTTATGATGCACCTAGGCTATATGGTCCAGCCAATTTTAAGTATTTTTATTTTTTCCCTCTTTACAGCATTTTTCTTTTCTTTTTTTCAATTAAGAACTAAGACACAAACATGCACATTAGGCTAGGTCTGCACAGGGTCAGAATTTCCACCTCCACATCTTTTTGTCATGCTGGAACGTCTTTGTTGGCAATAATGTGCAAGGAGCTTCCATCTCCTGTGATATCAACGCCTTCTTCCAGATACCTCCTAAAGGAACTGCCTGAGCAGTTAACTTTCCTTAATAAGTAGAAGTGCACTCTAAACTAATGGTAAAAGCATAGTATAGCGACTGCACAAACGAGTACCATAGTTGTCTATTACAGTTGTCAAGTGTTAGGTACTGTGTGTGTGTGTGCATGAGTAATGCATTGTGCTATGACAGCTACAGTGGCTATGACGTCACCAGGCAATAGGAATTTTTTAGCTCCTTTATAATCCTGCAGTATACACTGCTGTACTGGAGGCCCATAGTTGACTGAAGCAGTGTTCTGTAGTACATGACTGCACAATTTTGGAGATAAAGGTATGAAATAGTTGAAACTGTAACTGTTCCCAAGAACACAGGATATGAGGATGACCAAGAAAAGCAGGTAGAAGTGACTCAGTCCAAATCCATTTAGAATATTTGTGTAGATCAGTAGCTTCCACCCTTTTTGACATAAATACATCCCTTTATAGCCAAAAATTTCCTGAACTCTGATATAGTAATGCGGATTAATATTCATCAAGAAAATAATGGCACAGTTATTATTAATTCAATAGCACATTAAAATAAATTCAAATGTTATGAATATGTTTTGAGTATCTGCTTCAAGCAAAAATGATATAGTAGGTTGAGGTATACCATTTACTATACTCACATGATTTATAGATCCTTTGCAATAGTCCACTGGTTCTTTTTTTTTTTTTTTTTAAGATTTGATTTATTTATTTGAGAGGTAGAGTTACAGACAGAGGGAGGGAGAGGCAGAGTGAAAAGTCTTCCATCTGTTGGTTCACTCCCCAAATTACCACAATGGCCGGAGCTGTGCTGATCTGAAGCCAGGAGCCAGGTGCTTCTTTCCAGTCTCCCATGCGGGTGCAGGGGCCCAAGGACTTGAACCATCTTCTGCTGCTTTCCCAGACCACAGCAGAGAGCTGGATTGGAAGAGGAGCAGCTGGGACTAGAACGTGCACCCATATGGGATGCCAGTGTCACAGGAGGAGGATTAACCTGTGCCACAGCGCCAACCCCTAGATCACTGGTTCTTTCCAGGATCTAGGGACTCTTAGGTCAGAACCACTGACACAATGGCATCCTCAAGGAAGGTAACTTTAAGGAGCTTTGATTTCTAAAATCTTCAGTCAGTAACGAGACAAAGAGGAGCAGAGAAAGCTCTTACAAACCAGATTGCCAAGGTTAGTTTCCAACTTTTGAGTTATGATGGAGGATGATTTACAAACTATTTTTATGTAACTATAGAAAAAAATGGCTTTGGTTAGAACATCTCCAGTTTATTGTGGGTCATAAAATTTGAGCTTGGATATATTTAATATCATTAGAAATGTGCTGATTTCTAGATACAGTTTTGGGAAAGGCAATAATCTGGTTGGATAGAAAAATGAGACATTTCAAAACAGCAGAAGCAGACATAGCTGGCCCATGGGACACATACCTCCCACCCCTCTTCCCTTCTTTAAATTTCAAGGGAACATGCTCCTTTGCAGAGGTGTGTGTCTGTGTATGTGTGTGTGTGTGTGTGAGAGAGAGAGAGCAAATGGCAAAAGAGAACATGATTACTTCTCAAGCACTTCCGATTTGTATTATGTTGACGTAGTGTGTTGATTTGCGGTGTGACCGAATGTGAACTATGTTGAGTGGCAGTGATTGGTGTCCTGAAAATGTCCCTTCACAGAACAAAACTGAAACCAGACCTCCTGCCCCTCTTCCTTGTCTGCCCAAAGCCAATGGTCCAGCAGTTGCTAGAGATTTGGACAGAGCCCACCAAGCAGCTGGGGCTGCCACTCACGATTCCAGAATGTTCTATGGGCCACTGGCATGTCTATGACTGCCAAGGGAGTATCCAGCCCTACATCTGTTTTGGTTGCCTTTATGCATTTTGGAACAGAACAGAGGGGTTTCGTGTCATAATCAATCAGCTGTGGTGTTGACTTGTTGGTTCTTCTGCACACAGGTGGCTTGTTCACATATGTATCTGGAGCCAACTTCCTGGGTGAGATTATTGAATGGATTGGCTATGCCTTGGCTGCCTGGTCCCTCCCAGCATTTGCATTCGCGTTTTTCTCTCTGTGTTTCCTTGGGCTGCGTGCTTTTCACCACCATAGGTAAACTTTCCAATAATGGTGGCAATGGCCATGCAACTTTCTTCTGACAGGTTTTATCACATGGAGTCCAGTTTACAAAGCTAGGACATTTGTTTTTATAAAGGAAGGTGGGTATTAATCATCTGGTAAATTGCAACTGTGCAGGCTCTTCTTGAAGTTGGAATTTAGCTGGATGACAGCCGCTAAAACTTTTGCTAAGAGTAGCAATTGGCGCAGGTAGACAGAGGCACCTGAGAACTTCACTGAAGATGGGTTCACAGAAGAGCAATAGGGAGTTGTGCCCTGGAAGGCTTGCCTGGTGATCCTTACTGCTTAGCAGTAAGCAGCAGATATGAGTTAAGAGGCAAAAGAAGTGACTTCCAGTTCCTTGCTTGTTCAATTCATGTCTGCCACATTTCTTGGAGTGTGTACCATGGGTGGGACCATGGCCAGAATTTCCCAAAGCTTCACAGATAATTCTGGGTTATGGCCAGGACACAGTACCCTGTGGGGAGCACCAGCCCTGGTGCCTGTAACTCTATTTTTAATTCCAGGTTTTGTGCTACCAGTTCAGGTCATCACAGAGCTCTGGCAACTCCAGAAGGATTATTTTCCCTGGAAACCCCGGGGCTTATTTCTGTCCCTCCCTTCTTACTTCACATTCCCGCCCTGATATTGGCTTCCTGGAGAGGTAGGGTAAGCCAATTGTGTGGTGCAATTTTGAAACAGCCCCATCTGCTGGGAAGTGCTGGAATTACAGGCATTTAGAACCTGTTCTAAAGGTCTTTGGCCTAGCTTTCCCCACCCCACTAACCTGGGAGACAGAAGAGCTAACTAAAATCATCATGGGAAGGGCAGGGGTAGCCTAGGAAGTTGTTACTTGGCTTCAAACCTGAGTGTGAACTTCAGATCCCTTCCCTGAACTTGATTTTCAGGAAGGTGAAAGGCCATGCTGACAGGCAACGGACAAGGAAGGGCATCTGTCCCCTGGTAGGCAATGACCTGGAACCGGGACCAGGAGGGTCCTCCTCCAGCTCTTCCTTGGTGTCACAGTCTGGCCAATGGCTCATTCCCTGGTGTTAAACCAAGGAGGGTTAAACCAAGAACGGCTTCCTTCTTCTGAGAAAAAGTGGCATGGAAAGAAATGAATGAGACGACAGCTTTCCTCGGGCCCTCTCCCTGCCACCTCCTTGGCTGAGGTGGGTGGAGGACAGAGGGGCCTTGGCTCGTAGGACTCAGTTCTCCCTGCTCCAGCCTGGTCTGGTGTCTCCGAGAGGCACAGAGCGAGAGGGAGAGGAGAGGGCGTCACTGGCACTTGGAATGTCCCTAGGGAGAGGGAGAGGAGAGGGCATCACCGGCACTTGGAGGGTCCCTGGGAGGCGGACAGTGAAGCCACCAGACGTTCCCAGCTTGTGCCACAGCACAATCCAAAGCCAGGTCTCATCCTTTCATGTCAGATTTCCCAGAGGGAGGGTCCAGGGGCACCTTTTTCACAGCCCGCATGGGGCTTTGTGCAGGTGATTAAAAAGCAAAGGCACGCATTTGCCAGAGATGGCACAGGCAGGGGCAGCTCGCTGGTCTTCTGCAACCAGCACCCAAAGCCAGCCGCCTCTTGTAAGTCTTGTTGTTTCTCTCCCAATTCAAACAAAGGTGCTTGAGAGCTACCAGGCTCGACTGGTTAAGAGGACAACCTGGTTTCCGAAGCTGAAAGACTTTTGATGAGATGCATTGGTCTCCCAGAGTTGCCATGGCCAATGACTCCTGCCAGGGTGGGCTTCGGACCTCAAAGCTTTATTCTGTGGAGGTTCTGGAGGTTAGAAATTTGAAGTCAAGGTGTAGGTGACGGCCGGAGCGGGCACTCCTTCCTTGTACCTCCCTGGCTTCCCCAGGGCTTGCGGTGTAGCTGCAGTCTAATGTCAGCCTCTGTCTGCCCCGTGGGCCTCAGTCTCCAGGTCTGTTTTCCTGTTCTTTTAAGAACTCTGATACCATTGGATGAAGCACTCAGTCTGCAACCCCCCACTCCGCCCCAGGCTGACCTTGTCTGAATGAGCTCTACAGCAAGACTCGTTCTAGAATAAGGTTCCGTTTTCGGGTATTGGAGGGTGAGACTTCAGCACATCTTTTGGGGGCACGACACTGAACCCATAATGTAAGTTCACACTTCAGTGACATCCCCGGACCTCATTTCAGGATACTTCCCTGGGAACATTGCCAGGTCTCTGGGTTAAGTTTGCTCATGTTCTTTGTGGTCTCTGGAACCCTGTATTTACAAGCTCAATCGAGATGGGTACATCTTTCCATCTATTCCATTCTCTTTTCTGTCCCAGTAGAATATACAGAACATTAGACTAAGCATTAAGTGTAAAATTCAGTGGCATTTGGTTTACCCACAATGTTGTTCAGGCATCAGCATTGTCCTCTGACCGCTACCCTTTCTTTCCCAATGCAAGAAGCACCAGCACTTATTCGAGGTAGACTGTAGGAGGGAAAAAGATGAGCAAGTGGCTATCTGGGGTAGTCAGACCCGAAAATAACTGTAGATACGCATGTGACAAGGCTTTCAGGCACAGCAAAATGTAACTGATGACCATTGCTCCCTTCCACTTATAATTATTCCTTTCTTGTCTCTTAGGTTCTACCTCAAAATGTTTGAGGACTACCCCAAGTCTCGGAGAGCCCTTATCCCATTCATCTTTTAAAGAACGCGAATAAACCAGGAGCCAGGCTCCCACAGTATCAATGAAAACTGTCAAGCTGCTGAAACTTCACTTTTAAAGTGCCGCCACCTGCATACGTAGTAGTCGGTCACTTGGTGTTCTGCCAGCGGGCCTGAGGATTGTGAGTGGGTTTCTCCCACCCATCCAGAGAGTTCTGTACTGGTCTCCCTTGGAGCTTCAAACAGACCCTTGTCCCCTGGAGACTTTCCCTTCTTTGCTATTCTTCCTGGAAAGTGCAAGGCTCCCCCTGGTATGCTGTCGTGGGGAATACAGCTGCATGTGCCTGCTGGGGTCTCTGGAGCAGTGGGAGGGGGCGGGGCTGGAGTCAGGAATGTTCTGGGTGGAGGACATGCTTGCCAAGCTTAGTGAAGGCGTACATTGTTGTGCCTTTACAGAGCAGCAGCGATGTACATTCTGAAACCACATCGTCCTCGAACAAACTCACTCCCAAATGACGACCGAGCCGTCTCTTCGTTTTCCCTCATTAGGAAGGAGATGAAGCGATCAGGCAGACGTTAGATGAAAGGGCCCCCTCCTCAGGTGGCTGAGAACACGCTGATGCACGGAGTCCATTTTAGAGCTGTGCAGCCTCTCAGTTGATGAGTGCCTCTGTGTTTGGAGGATTTCTCAATCCCTATCAGAGATCATCACAGCCTGGCCTGGAGAACTGGCGTGGTTTTCTTGAAGGTCGGGCTTTTATGACCACAAAGAAAAAGATGTGACCTTGGATGGCCAGTGAGGGAGCTGAGAAGTGTTTCACCATAGATGTTGCAAACCTGGGTGTTCTGGAAGCTGATGGGAATAGCCCCGTCATGAGAACATGTGGAAGGAGGGAAACCTGTGAGTGAGACTGGACGGTGTTTGGCTCAGGATGTCTCCAGGGATATGAAGTGCATCAGAGGCACTGAGAACTTCCCTGTCCCGGCGTTTCTTCGTCGCAGTCTGTGGGACCTGGCCAAGAAGGTGTGTCCCCAGGGACATGGGCCCACTGACCCTCACAGGCCCTGAGACCAGAGCTGAGCACTGCAGGTAGAGGGCCACTTCGTGTAGGCGGAAACTTGGTGGAGTCAGATAAGGTTCCACACATAGCTTGAATACACATATATAGATATATATTCAATGTTTGCAAAATCTAAAAACTGGGGGGCTGCTGCCTACAACTCTGGCATTCTGACTTTTTAAAGCAGATGGAGGATGTGGGCACCCAGGTGAGCTGAGAAATGAGCAAGCATCTGGGTCTGCGACCCCTGGGAAGTGGTCAGCCAGCGTGGCAGCTGTTGTGCTGGGCTCTCTGTGGAAGAGGTGGACACTTGTGGTCAGATACATGAAAACATCTGGTTTCTCAGGCCTGGGCTTACGGCAAGCACTGGAAGTATTTAGCCAACACCAATTTTGTTCACTGTGATGCTAGGTACAGAAAACCACCAGGAGAAGTTTTGGAAACTTGAAAGAGCTGAAGATGGGGTAGCTTACTGTAAAATAGGAACTGTAACCGTATCATAAGTACTTGTGCTGTTCATGAAACGCCTCTTGAGTCACGGGTGTTCAGTGATTTGGTTTGAATTAAAAAATCTGGGACAGCTGGAGTCGCCCGCAGTGGATGGAGCCGTGTTCTTTTCCCTGTTTCCCTCCGATGTTTTGATGTTGATGTCCTTTTCTTTTTGCCAACCTGACGTTAGGAGCTGTGGGCTGAAAATGAAGAAGTATGGCTTCTAGAGCTCCTCAGCCAGAGCTCAGAAGCCCGGGGAGGTGCCAGGAAGGTACTGGAAGCTGTGCTTGGCTGCCACCCTATGTGCAGGGGTAAAGAACCCTTGCAGTGAGATACATCTTCCGTATAGCTTGAGCTCTGGGACCTGCAAGACTTCTAGTTCTTTCCATGGCATTGAAAACTGCCTTTTGCTAATCCTTTATTTTTTTTTTATCTTTTATTTAATGAATATAAATTTCCAAAGTACGACTCATGGGTTACAATGGCTTCCCCCCCCATACCGTCCCTCCCACCCACAACCCTCCCCTTTCCCACTCCCTCTCCCCTTCCATTCACATCAAGATTCATTTTCGATTATCTTAATATACAGAAGATCAGCTTAGTATACCTTAAGTAAGGATTTCAACAGTTTGCTCCCACACAGAAACATAAAGTGAAAAATAATAGATGATTTTTTTTAAATGATGATGAAATCAGATCAGACCTATTGTCATGTTTAATCCCAGTGAGAGTCAAAGTTGGGAATTGATAAATTTCTTTTTTTTTTTTTTTTTACAGAAGGATCAGTTTAGTGTACATTAAGGTAAAGATTTCAATCGTTTGCACTAAAGATCCACCACATTTTCTCCCCCCCTATAGAAACAAAAATGAAAAATATTTTGTGTGAGTCCTCGTGACATGTGTCACGGACGGCAGGTAGAGATGGTTGATCTTTTCTCCTACATGAGGAGTAAGTGCACAGTGACTCCTGTTGTTGACTTTACCAATTGACACTCCTGTCTATGGCATCAGTAATCTCCCTATGCTCCAGTCATGAGTTTCCAAGGCTATGGAAGCCCTCTGAGTTCTCCGACTCTTATCTTGTTTAGACAAGGTCATAGTCAAAGTGGAAGTTCTCTCCTCCCTTCAGAGAAAGGTTCCTCCTTCTTTGATGGCCCCGTTCTTTCCATTGGGATCTCACTCGCAGACATCTTTCATTTAGTTTTTTTTTTTTCTGCCTTTTTTGATTCTATCAGTTAGTATTAGCAGACACTAGTCTTGTTTGTGTGATCCCTTTGACTCTTTGACCTATCAGTGTGATCAATTGTGAACTGTATTTGATCACTTGTTCTAGTGAGATGGCATTGGTACATGCCACCTTGATGGGATTGTATTGGAATCCACTGGCATGTTTCTAACTCCACCATTTGGGGCAAGTCAGCTTGAGCATGTCCCAAATTGTACATCTCCTCCCTCTCGTATTCCCACTCTTATATTTAACAGGGATCACTTTTCAGTTAAAATTTAAACACCTAAGAATAATTGTGTGTTAATTACAGAGTTCAACCAATAGTACTAGAACCAAAAAAAATAATAAAATGGATAAAGTATTACAATGTACATCAAAGACAGAACAACCTTTGTCTTTCACAGAACATTAAAGGAACCCTATCCTAATGTCCCAAGAGCAGCCCTTAGATGACTTGTTTTTCTATACCAGTGTTCTGCCTTGGAGCCCCTGCAGAACAGCTAACTGCCTCAAACCTCTGCTGGTCCCTGGAGACGTGCTGGCTGCTTTTGTTTTCCTTCTGATCCTCGGTCCTTCTCTGCCTGTCCCTCACATCTGCGTCAGAGGGTGAGGAGCAGAGACACTGGGAAGGTTAAGCCAGAATGCTTTTCCATGGGGCTGAGCCTGTAAGCAAGGCTGAAAACACAGGCGTTTGAATCAGCCTCATCCGGGTCAGAACCCTCTTGATTGTTTCACACCAGTAGCTCTAATTGCCTTGTGTTTTCCCCCTCTGTCATGGATTGCTTTGGGTTTATGCAGGTACACACTTTCCTTTTCAAGTACATAGTTGGACTAAAAGATGCA